TTTGATCTATTCCTATAAAAAATATAATATATATATATATATATATATATATATATAATGTTTTAAAATTATTAGATTTTAAATTAAAAATATTAAAATCGTACAATTGTGATGCTCGAAAAATTAAAATTGCTCAATTAAAATTAGAGGACAAAAATTGTACAACTATGATACTTGATAAATTAAAATTACTTAATTAAATTTTGAGAACCAAAATTATCACAATACTTTAGAGATAAAGTAATTAAGCCTAGATTCTATCCTTTATTGATTTTTTTTCTTCTTCTACTTGCTTTCCTATAAATAAAAGATTATGAAATCTAGGACTATCGAGGAAGTTGAATGAGAATTTAAGAGTTCCTTTTCTACATAGTGTGATGATTTATATTTTATTTTATACTCTTGTAAAATATTGTCTTATCCATTCTCATAGATAGAATTGATGAGATTCAAATTTACGAAAGCTACTAATTTGTGTTTCAAGTCAAGTACGTTGTTCAGTGGATTGATTAACTTGTGTTCGTGACTGAGCTAACGGTCTAAATAACAAGTCTTGTTCCCTACAGTGTTAGTTGGGTATTGCACTGGTCAAATTATTGAATCATTACTCCTCTCTTTCGTTTCCATTATTTTTCCTAACCTGGTCTAATTAAATCTAGATTAACTATGGCTCAATCAATAATTATCTTGATAGACCCGTCCAAATTAACTATCAACTAAAGCGACTTGGTAAACCAAATATTTTGATGAGTTTATCCAAAATCCAAAATCAAACTTAATGGGGTCCAAATTTTTGTATGAGACTATGCTTGTAAGAGACTGATCTTTTACAAACATATAAAAATAATAATAATACAAAAAATTAAAGCTAGAGTGCGAGTCATGGAATCAATGACAATCAAAGTGGTCCAACCAAATCAAGATTAATATGTTACATACATAATTTTCCCCTAATAAGCAATCGATTATTGTGAGTCATGGCAGTTCAATTTCCTTTTATGGCTAATAAAAAAATCCCTCTTATCATTATTTTATTTATTTATTTATTTCCTTCTAGTCATGTAGAAGTAGAAGTCAATTTCCTAGAGTCGAGGAACTCCTTTCTCTTGGGCTCTCTGGTCGTAACGTAGGCAAGAAAAGTATCAAAATTGGTGTCTGCGTAACGTTTGGGATTCTCTTCGTCAATGAGTTTTGGTGACGGTCTTACGGTGCAGTTGAAAGGAAGGCTATGAAGCGAAGCCACAGATGTCCTATTCTTCACTGCATTAACCACAACCCTATGTAACACACTCTTGTACTTCCCATTGCTATATATCTGAAAAAGTCCACCCAACAAAATGGAAAATCACCATCTTAATTATATAGGACTCAAATATTTTATATAAAGTGATATAATTACTTTCATTGGATCAGTTTCTACAAGAATAAAGTGATATTTTCATTCGTAATGTTTAAGTCAAAGATCAGATCTAATATTTAATTTAAGAATACAAATGTTAAACCACTTGAAATAGTGATTTTTAGTGACTCAAATGTTTTTTAATAACTTAAACAAAAATAACCAAAGATCTTTTCTTTAATCAAGACATATGTGAATCTAAGTTAAGACATAAATGTGTGAATTTAATGAAAGTGTGGTAAAATGATGTGTAATCAAGGAAGGAATTTGTTTACCTCTAGATGATCACCAACATTGATAACAAAGGCATTATTGATGGGCTGAACAGTGAACCATTGACCTTGGAATTGGATCTGCAAACCCTCCACCTGGTCTTGGAGGAGGAGTGTGAGGAATCCATAATCAGAGTGAGGAGGCATACCCAAAGTTAGGTCTGGTTCAGGGCATGGTGGGTAGAAATTCATCACCATCATCTGGCTCCCATCTTCCAAGTCCTTCATAATATTGTCCTTTCCTTCTGTCTCCTCTTCTATGATTCCTAAACTCTCTTGGATTGCTTCCATCAATGTCAGAAATAAGCATTTGGTTTCTTCTGCGTAGGTAGCTGCCACTTTCCTATATTGCAATTAATCAAAAATTATGAATTATAAATAAAGAGAAGTTTGTCCTCATGCTACCCAATTGTTCACATTAGGCATTTGTTTGTAATCTTTTACATATTAAATAAGACAACTTAGTTCGTTTTCGGATATGATTATTATGTGCAGAAAAATTATTTCTTTTGAACATTTAACACAATTATATATACAAGATTCAAATTCAAGACATTTAGTTAAGTGAAATAATTGTGTCAGTTAATTTACGTGTTTGACGTGAAAATTATTTCATGTTAAGGTAAGATCATGTCACAAGCCTTTATAGAGTCTTGGAGTCTTATTAATCATGTTGTTTAGTCCTACCAGTTGCATCAATCACGTTGGCATGAAGATATTTAATATTTGTATGGAGATAGCTACCATTAATCAAATTGACAAGCAACTCATAGGACTTATTTTAAAAATGTTGTCCACGAAGAATCATTAATTAAATATTTAAATGAAGTTGTATCTGATTAATTATGGTTATAGTTCTCACCTAAAGTCTAAGGGAGAAGCAGGCCAATGGGGGAGGAAATCAGGCAGGGGGTGGCAGAGGAGTTTCAAGAAGTCCCTCCAACAGAACACAGTGTCTTTGGTTTGGCTGAAGCTAGTTCCATACCGAACCGGTGCACTCATATCATTTGTCATATACTTGGCTCTTTCCTCAAAAGGAAGATCGAAGAACCTGCCACTCACATCCCTCATGCTGCTGATAACATCATCTGAGATGCCATGGTTTACCAGCTGCACCAATCAAACAAAATGAAATTTTCAATCACATATTCAATTCTAAAACTAATATTCTTCTCATGATATTTCAAACTAACTTAATTGCCTCCATCAAAGAGTCAACTATACAAGTTCAAGTGTTTTGGTTTTGTCACATGTATCTTTAGTCCATTAGAGCAGAGACTAATTTAACTCACATACTGTGACAGCTGTTAATTTGAAGAGTTTTTGCACATAGTAGAGATTGAACATGGAATTCTTTTGCTAAATGGATCCTCCCCACAAAATTTAAGTATTTGTAAATGAAGGGTCCAAATTGTTTTAACGCCTAATATATACATATGCCATCATGCAAAATTTTACAACAACTTCAACACTCTTTTTAGCCAACTAAGTTACACCCTTTGTTATTGAGTTCGATTTAGGCGGATCAAAAGCAAAAACAAATAGTTACGAGGTTTAAATGATTCATTAAGTTTATGCCAAATTGCTAGCTCACCTGAAAAAATCCGTAGCCTTCACAGGCATTGGCTAGGGATTGAAGGACTTGGGGCCTTCTTGGACCAAGCAATTCAGAAAAATCAATGATGGGTAGCTGAAGGTTTTTCTTGGCAACATTTGAAGCTTCTGAATTCATAGCAGGTCGATCAGAATGTGGAAGTATGTACTTTTTAGGCACCGTGTGAAGGCCATTCTCAACGAGTTGCTTCACTCCTTTCTGATATTGACTTCCACCCTCACCCTTCTCATCACTGCCTACCATTGCAGGAGACATGTGTGCTTCTCAATATAAAATGTCCTGCATGTGAAAGTAAACTAAGAACAAATGCATAACAAGGAAAAAAGAAATACAAAAAAGGTGTACTCATAGTACTATGCTTAAATTTATATAATAGTCTAGTGAATGCACATAAATATCGAAATGTGCTCCTCCACATGGTTGAGAAATTAGAAAGTGGAGCTTATTAATTAGAGTTATATATTGATTCCCATTACCTGGGTTGAGAGATAAATAAAGAAAATGAATGTTGGAGAATATAAGGGATGGGAATTGGAAAAGAAAAGGTTAGATGGATGATAATTGTGTTGATTTTGATGTGCATATATAGTGAAGAGAAGAGGAGTGTGGGGGTAGTGAACAGTAGCAAGTTTTGCAAAACCGGTTTGAGGTTTGTGAATTGTGAAAACTGGATGGACACATTCTGATATTAACAAATTGGTTGACAAAAGAGTTAGTCAGACCCCAGTTGCACAAAATACCATCGACTTGCTCCAAAATTATTATTTCCTTCCTTGTCAACAAAAAAATTAGAAACTTAACTTTTTTATGAGAATTAATTTAGAATATTTTTTGTATAAATAATTTTTTTTATATAAATATCTTTAATTATGAATTATTTCTTTGAGTTTAATAAATAACTGATAATATATATTATTGTTTTCAGGTTTTTTGGGAGACTAATTTTGTTTTATATATAGAAAATTTCGAAAGCTTTATTTCATCTTTTCATATATATATATATATATATATATATATATATATAACTAATATTAATTGATATTAAAAACTAAAGTAAATAAAAAAATATTTAAAAATAAAAAGAGTATGTAGATGGTCTAAAAGAAAAGGAGTATGTAGATAATTTTGAGAAATGTAAATTTGATAATAATAACTAAATTATATATGTTTTATTTTTATAAAATTAATTAATTGAATCTTATAGAAGAATATTTCAACTTATATGCATTAATTGGACCTACCTTTATCTCTATATAATATGTACTCATTGGTACTATTTTTATCGCTGACTTTTGGGATACAAATAAAAAATATCTTTTCAGCTTCCTACCATTCTTGACATGTTTATTTCCACTCTTCCTGTTCTTGAATTCTTTTCAACTCAAGCATTTGGGATTAATTCAAAGCATGCCATCTTCAGAAATGTCAAGGTTTGGGCAATTTTTACACGAGTTTTATAACTTTTATTTTAATATAATTCATCAATTTTTGTTTTTTTTTTTTAAATATTGAGTTGAAAATTTTTAAATTAGTACCATTTTTTTTATCACTATTTTGTAACATAATTGATATCTCAATTTGAATTGAAAAAAAGAACTGATTTTAAAAATATTCTTTTGAAAATAACAATAACTACAAAATATATTTATAATATTATATAAGCATTACATTCATTAAAAGAATAATTATTTTTAATATTGTTTAATACTTATAATTTATTAAGGTATTAATTAATTAATTAATTTTTTTTTAATAATTTTAATTTTGAAAAAGATTCAAGAACAATAATATAAATTAATACTCATTAATTACCCAAAAAAATAATACTTATTAAAGCCTAAATGCAACTCATATAATATTTTTATTTTATTTTATTTTAAAAAATAACTATTTAGATTCAGATAAAAAGGTCAAAGTGATTTCATACTTTAAAAATTTTGTTCAATTAAGTTTTGAATAAAAGAAAATAAATTGATTTGATATGTATAATAAATAATAAAAAAATAAAAATTATTATTTTATAAGAACAAAAAGAATTAATCTTTAACTAAAGGTGTGATCTCATCACTATTATTTTCATCAAAATGTTTTGTTTATGAAGCATACAAATTTTTTCAACAAATTTAATTTGTTTATATTCAATCTAATGTTTTTTTTGCATTGAAAAAAAAAATGTAAACTGTCTAAAAAAATATAATGAGTAATAAAACATTGAAAATAATCTAGAACAATATTTGTGGGTGTATATAATTACAATAACAAAATTATAACTTATGATCTCATATATACTACTTAAACCTCTTACTAATAAGTCAATTTATAATACTGTAACAATCCAATATGTTATCATATTTAGTATATTTCAATTACTACATAGTGAAAAACTTAACAACACTCAATTATCCTAGAGTTCCCATACAACAGTTACCTAATCAGTCATGTAATCTATATATAAGGGAAGAAAACATCATAAAGAAGATGTAAATTCCCTTATGGGGTTATATACACACCATGTACACATATATAAAATACATCAACTCCACAATTGTACACAACATCCCTTATGGTCTGTCAAGCATCTATAAAACTACTATGTCACTTCAAAGTGACATCAAAATGAGTCATCAACAAAAGACGCTTCATTAGTTAGACAAGCCAACTTATTAATCTTACTCTATTATTATATTAAATATGATCATTGCAGTTTTAACTACAAGAAAAAAGGGTAAGTTTGTGAAAAGAATCAATATACAATAAAAAATACCAAGTAATAACTTAAACAACTTAAACAATAACATTAATTTCACCATGCAACTTGAATTTTTCCTCAAGTACCACACTTACAACTTGCAACATAACACAACTTCAACATAACAACAATACTCAACTAATGCATCGTCACACATATCAACTACGGAGATCTTCTACAATAGAGATGAGCAGTTTAAGTGACTAGACTCTATCGAACCACAACGTCTAACATTTCACAACTAGGTCAACTGTAGACAACATTAGGCCTCAAAGAGTGTCAGATATACAATTTAAATTGATTTCTCAGGTTTTTCTACTTAAACTAGGAAGTTTGGTATTCTTGTCAGGATAAAATAATTTAGATATGAGCCTACCACGACATTAGATTGCAACACTAAGCCTCATATGAGATTAGTTCACTGGTTACCCTCCAAATATTATGCCCTTTCAATACTCAGTTAAGGACTAAGTCTTTGAACTTGTACATTATTCAGTTGGTCACTTTATAGACATATATTTTGACCTTGTCCACATACAAATTCCACATAAAACTTAGAGAAGACAACTTAAAATAATTACCTATTCAAAAACTAACTTACTTATTAAAGGATTCTCAACTTAGACTCTCGGAGCACCACAACTTTTATCCACACAATATTAACAAAAGTAATGTTTAAATACTAACAAACTTAGACTTTTTTTTGCAAAGACATAAAAAGATCCAATGTAAAAGATAATAGTATAAATCACAATCAAAAGACAATATTGAAAGATGAAATGCATGATAATCCTTTAGATTGAACATTTCATCTTTCTAAGACGAATGCTTTAAATGCCATATTTAATATGTTTGATGTTTTATAATTTACTTTCATGTTATTCCTTAACAGATTGAAAGAATAAAAGTTTTTTTGGTACTCACAACGTATAAAGGAATGAAGATTTTTTTTTCATCAAGAAAAAAAAATGAATCATATATCTCAGAGTATGCAAAGTCAACTAAAAGTCATTCTTGACTGACATACGGAACAAGTCTTTTCCTTTTTGTACCATAAAGGTAATAAAGGTAATAAGAAGTGGTTATTTAGCGAAACACATTTGATGCAAGTATTTATTGCACCAATGGACACTTAGCTCTACAAGATAGCAAGACAAATTAAGATGAAGCAAGTCGACGAGTGCTACTGAAAGATTTGCAACAATCATCTTTAAAGATCACCTATATAAGGGAGCTTGAACCTCACAAAAAGGAGAGAGATTCATTCATTCAATTTATTCTTTCTTTCTTTGTAAATATTTGTACTTCAAATTTTATTACATCTTGTGTGTAAGAAAAATTCTTTATTAGTTTACCCAACTTAAACTATGTATTTTAACTTGAAGCTTGTAAATGCTTTGTTGTTAATTAAGAAAGACTTGGTGTTGGAGCTTGTAGAGGCTTTATTGTTTAAAAAATAACTTGGTGTTGAAGCTTGGAAAGACTTTTTTATTCAAAGAATTCTTTGGTACTTTACTTGAAAAGACAAATAAATCAAAGAACACTTAAACTGAGCTAGAAGTGGCCTATGAAAATATTTATATCTTTGTGAAAAATAATGGAACTTAATCAAGTTGTTCAAGAAATAGACATAGTCTCGATGGTTAAGATGAACCTATATAAAAATACATTGTGGTTTTTACACTCCCTTGATCTTACATGATATGATTACTTTATTATTTTGATAAAATGTTTACTTTTTTTTTTAATGACACTATTCAACTCTTCTCTCCCTTTCTATTATCTTTATTTTCTCTACAAGAACAATTTCATAAATCAATTAGTGCAAATATGTACATATGTTTTGGGTTAAAACCCTAATTTGGTCCCTTACAATATTTTAAAGTTTCAATTTAGTCCCACTTTAATTTTTTATTTTAATTTGGTCTCTAATAATTTAAATTACTGCAATGTTGGACCTTTCGTCCAAATTTCTTAAACGGAGTTAACTGTTGGCCACGTGGTTTGTTAAGTCTCATTTATACATATGTTTAGATAGGAATTATTGAACAATTCCACTCACCCCATGCACTCTTGAATTATAATTGTTCTCTTTTTGATTTAATTTTTGTGCAGATATAGCTAACCCAAAACTCATCTAACAATAGCTTGATACACCACATTTTTTATGCAGGTATTGAGTTAAAGAGTTGAGGTTGAAGACCCATAGGATTGGAAATTTAAGGAGCTAAGGAGTAGGAGACGAGTACCTGCGTCGGGCGCAAGACTACCCACGCCGAACTTGGTCAAGACAGAGAGCAACACTCTGTAACTCAGCACTATGCCGGGCACAAAGGTCGATGCGCCGGGCGTGCCTCGAGATAGAGAGCAACCAAACTCTCTAGAAGACGTCGTGCAGGGCGCAAGAGTATATGCGTCAGGCATGTCTTGAGACAGAGAGCATCTAAACTCTCTAGAAGGCCCTACGCCGGGCGTGAAGTATAACGCGTCGGGCGTGTAAACGCTATCCTGTCTCACCCAGCTCGTATTTGAGCAAAGCTTCGAGGCTCATTCTCTCATTCACACATTGGGCGACTTCCAGGAAGTTGTGGAAGGGATTCTAGGTGCTTGGGACCATTCGTGTGTGGGTCTTTCCTTCGATTCTTCCATCTTCTCTTCTATCTTTATTTTTGTTTTACCCTCATTGTTTTGAGCGGTTCTACCCATTATTTTGTGGGGTTAGATGTAACCAACGAAACTCTTTTGTAATCTTCACTTTATTAATGATATATATGTTGTTTCATTCATTGTTGTGTTATGTTTCCATTCTTAATGCTTGCTTTGGATTAATTTTCCTTTGCTTGATATAGAGT